TGGTTCGGGTTTTTCGATGCTTATGTCCGATGCATAAGTGTCCGCGTATAGCCTTTTGCTATACGTGAAACCATCAAGCAAGGTCGCAAGTAGTCGTTTTGGGGCGTACGGTGTTGATGATAAAGACACACCGAAGTTAGAGCAGAAAGATGTCATATCCTATAACATCAAGATCCAGGCATTTGATGAATAATAGGATATGATATCCTTTACCGACATAAGTCTAGCGGGAGTTGGCTCGAGCCTCCTCAGTCGGTCGGCGATCCTATGCCTGACAGTGTAATCGTCTTGTGGACAATAAAAATTTCTAAAACCTATTTCAAAATATAAAATACATTCTTCTTTATAAAACAAGATTTGATAATCTTTTTCAAGATTTATGTGTATGTCAAAAACATAAATTTTAAAACATGTTCTTAAAAATACATTGTCCACCTGACGAATACCTGTTTAGGCTGGGAGATAGCCCCCTAAGTGAGGTTCAGGACACCCTTCTAGACGAGTGGCGGGTTCTGTACATTCGGGTGACTGAGCAGCCTTCGTGGTCCCTCGAGAATAAATATATCTGAGCCTAGTCCCATACGAGTGCTTGCGGTCCCCCTGTCCGGGTTTTCTTTTTGTTTTATCAAAGTTTTGGTGGACGAGATATTCGTTTTACTTTTCTTTTCTTTCGGGACGGGATTTCCCCAGGAGTTTTGAGGATTTTCTTTTACTTGAGTCTCTTTCGTTGATTTTCTCGAGTTTCTCCGTTTTTCTTCGGGTTTCCTGAACGACGTTTCTTTCGGGATTTATTTTTTGAGATGCATTAAGGTTTGCAATACTTAAGGGACAGCGGATCTCACAGGCGTACAGGTTTGCTTTACAATTTACAGCATTTAATTTTCCTGTTTCAACCTGCTACTGCTCTTCTTATACAGCATGTTACACTTGTCATGTTTCTACCTGCTACCATTCTTCATGTATAGCATGTTGTACCTACCTGCTACTGTCTTTCATGTATAGCATGTTGTACTGCTCCTGTTTTACTTACTACTGCTCCACTTGCATGCTACTGTTCATTCATGTATTGCACATTTCACATTTTATAACTTTAAACATGTTTACCCTTTTTACATAGAATGTTTAGAGGACCTACAACCATAGGG